GCTAGAAATATAAAAAATGAAAGCTTCCTAGAATTATAGGAGATGCAGGCTTTAAAGAAACAGTAACTAAATAGGTGGGAACTAGCTGTAAACTAGTGTGAGCTGTGTCGGTGTTTCTAAAGAAACAGTTGTTGCATCTCTTTACTCTGACGAAGGATTAACGTCTGAAACGTCAGTACGTTTTTTTGACCTATTTTTTATGGTGTTAAATTTATCTTTTTACACAACTGTTAACTAAATAGGGCCTTACTGTGATCACAAGTCATGTTTAGTTCTCATGATTACTATGAAGTAGAACACAAATCAGTGACTTGTTACAGATCCCTTGATGGTAGTTAACATACAGGTTTGGGCCGAATTACAATTTATTGCCTGATTTTAGCAAACCAATCATCTGCAACATTGAGAGTGTGAATGTGAAAGCTAGCATGGAAGTCAGATTTGCTATCTGTGCAACCAGAGGTTGGTTACAGCCTCAAAACATGGTGTTAGGCAATGCATGTTTTGAATCTTGAAGCTCACCATTGAAAGATTTCTTTTCAGTTTTATAAGTTAAATGTACATTTACAACCATAATTCTATGGAAGTCGTACAACAGATTGTTTCACAAATCTGTAGGCTGTGGATTCGAATCTTTTTTTTCTGAATCTTATCAAAATCTAAATTTCTTTTTCCTGGAATAACCTCCTTCTCAGCACTTACCATTATTTCAATCTACATTGTATACAACAAGCAAGAATTTTGACAAGAACTCACTTTTGTTGCAGCTCTGAAGATAATTGCATGTCTTGCTGCTAGTACATCAACATCATCATCATATCCACCTCCTATGACAGTTGCACATGGTATACCACGATACAATGACATTCTCATCACTTCCACGTCACGATTGAAAAGGCCTTTTAAAACAAGAATTCGATCAGCTTAGTCTACATGTGAGAGTATGACAATGGAGATAATGAGAAACAATCAAAATTTTATTACATTAACTAATTAAGTCTATTACTAGTTAGATATTTTAATGTTGACAGATGCTGGCAGGTGGGAAGGTCTCTTTTCATATCTTGACACTCATTAATGCACCGTTAAACAGAAAATTGAATATAACAAAACCAAATGTTAAACCAGAAAATTAAATATAACAAAAAATTTACTCTCTGATGCAAATGAAATCTTACTAACACAAACACAAACACACAAAAAAAAATTACCTTGATCAGTTAGGTTTAGCTTTCCCAACACATCATCTTTATGAGGATCTACTCCAGCATCATATAGTACAATATCAGGTCTATAGCGGTCTAACAGCCAAGCTAGATGAATTCTTACAGTGTCCATGTACTCTTTGTCTTCAATACCACTTTCAAGACCAACATCTAAATCACTGCTTTGCTTATGAACTGGAAAATTTTTCTCGCAATGAACAGAGAAGGTAAAGATATCATGGTTACTTTGAAGAGTGAATGCTGTGCCATCTCCCTGCAAAATATTAAACAACAACACAATTCAAGACTGTGTATGGCAAACTAACAAGCAATTCATTAAGACTGTGTATGGCAAACTAACAAGCAATTCATTAAGACTGTGTATGGCAAACTAACAAGCAATCCATTAAGACTGTGTATGGCAAACTAATAAGCAATCCATTAAGACTGTGTATGGCAAACTAACAAGCAATTCATTAAGACTGTGTATGGCAAACTAACAAGCAAT